ACAGTGCCTGCACTTTACCCCAGTAGCCCTGAAGTGTGGGCGCCGTACCCTCTCTACCCAGCGGAGTTAGCACCTGCTCTACCTCCGCCTGCTTTCACCTACCCTGCTTCACTGCATGCCCAGGTAATTTATATCAATCAGTCACATCTTCACCCACGTTATTCCTTGATCCTCTTCAGAGCTCACCATACAACTAACACTTGTCTGCCTAATTAGGGTCACAAGGGCGAAATTAATGATCACTCCTCAATCAAGCTGATCCATCCTCTAGCGATCACTGGAATTATCCTTGATAAAATGGCAGCACCCCTCTGCCTGATAGAACACCTTTTTCTTCTTGAGTAATTTCACCTCTGTTCACTTCAGGCAAATAGAAATATCTGCTGGGTCTTTGAACACACATATATTTTCTTTTATATATATATATATACATGGACTGTGCTTCCCAGACTTGCCTTTCAGTGGTTTTAACTTCCAAGATTCACAGGTCTTGAAGTAGATCCAGGCAAAGTATGTAAGAATATACTGATATATATATATATGTGTACTTGTAGCTTAAGAGGAGACATGGAAGCAAAACAATACCCAGTGGCAGAGGAAATATACATGTAATGATGATGAGTGGTAAGTTGAGAAGATTGCCAACAGCAAATTGTTTAATAACAACAATTAAATGATTCTCCCCATTGACATATCATTGTCCCCAATCAGTAGTAATTTAGATGCAGGTCATCCTAGTGTGTGCATCTTGGTTGCAGTGAACAACCATATCCATCACTGAAATCACCATTTTGTCTCAGTAGCCTTGGTAGTGAGCTTTAAACTGGCTGTTTTATGAAGACATTCTAACCCTAACAAAGTGAGTATTAATCACCATTTGCCAAGTGAAAATGTGCTTGTAATTATTTGCTATTCTAGTTGTTTGTGTACTTTCTAGTGATGAGTAAAACGTTGAATAGATGTTTGGCAAAGGTGATAATCTATATAAACATTAATGAACTGAAACATTAGAACTGAACAAAAATAGATCTAGACTGTTTTTTAGGTTTATAATTGTGTGAAAGCAAATATGGGTAGTCCTCACTTTACGCCTTGTTTATTGACTGTTCACAGTTTCACAGTTAGGACAATGATTAAAAAGTACTGTAACTTTACTACCAATCTTCACATTATGATATTTGCAGGTCTGTAACATAAAGGGAAGCTGAAGTAAGATCATAAGCACAGTCATTGTTTCACTTTTAGATCACTTTGCTTAACAACTGAGTTGTTGTCCCAGTTATGATGTTAAAGCAGGACCACCTGTATACTCTTTTAATTCTGTGATAGTTAATTAATGCTTAATTGTTTGGGGTAATAAGGACTTCTATCCAATTCTGATGCATTAGCTATGTTCTTTTTTGAGAAATATTGATTTGGCCTGACGGGAGATGCAATGTCCTTATCAATCTGAGATTCAATGGGGCAATGTCTAGACTGAATATCTCTGTGTGTTTTAAATAAAGCTACTAAATAGAGCTACCTTTGCTTGAATATCTGAAAGCTTTAGCTGTCCAAAATGCAGTTTGTAAACTGCTACAAAGTGGAAGCAGAAGTGGCATGGTTTTTATAAGAGCAGCAGTAGTTGTCCATTTGTTTTTAGGCCAATTTCAGAATGCTGGTGTTGACCTTTACGGTGCCAGGGCTTAGTTTATTTGAAATTTTGCAAAGCAAACCTCTCCTACTGCATGAGGGTGAAGTAAATCTATACATTCAGCATGTTCTGTGAAACTATTGGGAGAGGCACGGACCATGGCCAACCCCTCTGCCTCTTTGACACTCCCTAAGCCTTAAGAAAACTTAGGAAAATTAGCCTGTTTAGGTGCCCTTTTTGTTTCTTTAAAGCAGCAGAAGATTGGGTTTCTGTGTTGTGGGCATCCCTTGACTATAAGCCGCTTCAAGGGCCTGATTGAGTTGAGTAAGCCAGTCACCCTGCACAAGGCAGTGGGGGAAGACATTTGTTTCAGACTATTTGCAGGCAGAAATCAAAGCAGCAGCAAAGGAAATTTCTCTGCCACTTGCTAAGTCAATCTTTGTAGCCTCTTCCTTGTAGGATTTTCTTGCACTTTGGTAAATTTATACTTGATAAATGCTTAGTTGAGTCCACTGATGATCTTGTTGGGAAGAAAAAGTGTCATATATAATACATTAACTTAAGAATTACACTTTTTAGATAGGGAGACAGATTACCTTTGGGGGACTTACAGGCGTATGACTGGAAATTTGAAAAGGTGTGTCAGAGGCACCCACAGAATGTCTGTCATGGTCAGCCTGGCCACTCATGAAATACAAATTAATCTGAAAATTGACAAGTCCCACAGGATGCTCTTTACCACGCTAATACACAATGAGCGAAGGGACAGGGAGGAGTCAGGCAAAGGTTTTTCTGCAGAAATATAGCAGGAGTAGAGGTTGGTGTGTTGCTTTGTTTCGCAACGGGGCAGGTTGATAATTCCATTTTTATTAAAAGAATCATTTTAAAAAGAATCAGATGATGCAATAAGTTCAGTAGGTACCACGCAAGATAGCTTGGGCCAGCAGGAGCCATCGGGGAAGGTCCAAACAGGAAAGCTGGTGAAAGTGGTATCACCTCTTTTGTACATGTGTCAATGTATATAAAAAGGGCAGGGTTTTGTTTAAATGTCTGTAAACCCCCCACCCCAATTTAGTAGCATAAAATTCTAATAGCAACTAATTATTATAGGAACTGGGAACAATATTCACACTGGTCCAATATCTAGAGACACTGGAAATTTGGGCTGCTTTTGTTATATGAAATCAAATACCGCCTCTCCATGAAAGAATATTATGCTGACTAAAATCTAACATAGATAATGGTCATATTTCTTCTGGAATCCAGGG